TATTACTGATAATTTCAGGAACACTGACGAACGGAGTGGCGAAAAAGTACGGTTTATGCGAGATAATAACCGCGGATATAATTCGCCATGAGGTGGCAAAGAGATCGGAGAGAGCATTGGCGCTGGCGCGTTTAATTTCAGAGGGTCAGCTGGTGCCAAGAAGTATATTGGTGGAACTGATTGCGCTGAAGATGCTAGCTCAGTTGAGCAACAACAAAGGGTTTATCGTGAGCGGTTTTCCACGGGAGCTGTCGGAGAGCGAACTCTTCGACAGAGAAATACGACCACCCGATCTCGTTTTATACCTAAACGTGCGAGACTCCGTCCTGAGCGATCGAATAATGTCCAGGTCTGTGAAAGAGACCGAGAGAATGTCGATCAACTTCGATCATATAAAGAGCATGATCAACGATTTTCATAAACGTAACAAACCGATAATTAAATACTACGACCAAGTACTGGTGATGATTGATGCAGAACACGACACGTTGACTGTGTTTGAAGCTGTGTGTCAAGCCATCGATCCCGTTCTAGTGAATTTTCCAGGCTTCAATATTGTTATTGCATCCACATCAAATTGTACTAATGCATCTGCTCAAAAGAATACTAATGCAAACGTATCTAGTGCTACAAATGCAACCACATCAAAGTCTGATAATACAAAAGTGAAGAAGTAATATCCTTATTAAAGATGTTGTATACATATCTACGTGCATATGAATCGTTCTTATAAATGAGACCTTCTTTTAAGAAGGCTTTTATCTAGGCGTGTTAGACTAATGATCTATAATTTTATTAAATGTAAGCACTTGTATTGTAATTAGAAAGCCATCATAAACTTTATAAAAAAATGTTTCATTAAGGGATGTGATCTTTTCAAACAACGAGTGGATTTGTGTATGTGAACCTTGTGTAAAAATTGTAATACTCATAATCTTTAGTCACGTACACAATTCTTTAATGGAATTTCGAATAGAATGTTAATTAAATATTGAAATATATGTTATTAAACCGATATAAGTTAATAAAATGCAGACGATACTTAAATATTTTTCAAGCGTTTTTTATTTCCTCTGCTCACATTGTTCCTAAGAAATAAAACACATCAGTAGTTTCTATTCTCTATTTCACTGGATTCGTAATAATTGCTAAATTAACTGTCGACTTTCTTTCGTATGCGCACGAGAATGTGTTCTGGACTCATCCCCTGTATGTAAATACCTATTTTCGCTCGTTTTAATCAGTAGATGGATGGTTGGTTCTATTTATTTCATGATTGTACGAAGACACATGAAGCATATCTCTATAGAAACATAACTCACCCTCCTACTGATCGTTCATGTGTGCAATTTGCTTGGTGGATATATTCATAAAGACGCGTGTATTTTCAATGGCATGTATCTGCACGTGAATCCTACGCGTACCGGTGAATGACTGATAAAACGGTTTCACGTATCGATGTGTCACGTACGGATCTAAACCCTTTCGAAACTCAATTTGCGTTAAGTGCAAATATATTAAATATATATTTACCATTGATACATTATGTACCTATATATTATATGTTGTTTTAAATTATTGTTGCTCTAACCGCTATAACATTGAAATAAGCTACGAGTTTCAATTTTTATTTTATGTTACAAGTGAAGAATCAAGTTTTCATTTTCCATATACATGATTAAAAAAGAATTATATAAGTCGGTGCACGTTGTCAAACTTT